CTGCTCCCCACCAGCCCCATTTCTCAATGCCTTTCTTGTGCGGAGCAGGGCGAAGTCTAAAAATGGAGGGAGATCTCTGAGGGAGAAACTGGACAAAATAGGATTAAACCTGCCAGCCGGGAGGCGTAAAGCTGCTAACGTTACCTTGCTCACTTCGCTCGTGGAGGGTAAGTGACTCAAAGAGCCAGGAGGGCTCGTTTGGAAAATGTGCCCGTTGCTTTTGCCTAACAGGAGAAGACTTGGTGTTGGGTTGGGTTCTTTTTTTTCCCCAAGTCAGTGCTGCTTGTTGGAAATTGGAAGGGCATTATTTTCTATGCCTCAGGAAAAAAAGGTGAATTATGTGCCTTTGCTTTTTGTTTTAACCTGAAACGGGCTTGCGTGAGTCCTCAGCATTGCATTCTACCATTTATTTGCTTTTAGGTCTCTGAGCTAGATGTTTTCAGGGCCCCATCTTGCTCCCTCGTTCAAGTGAGTAATCCCAGAGTAAGTGGATCTCATTGGGAGCAGCATGGGAAAGATCCCTGTGAACGGGGGCTGTGGGTTCAGCCCCGTAAGAGACCCCCGAGTGTCGAGTTGGAAGTTACGGGGAGCAGAGCCTCTAATCCTTCACTGCCATCCTTCTGCCACAGGTGGACAGCCATGCAATTTTAAATGTCAGAAACTGCAGCTACTTTAAGTTTGTTCTCCCTCCCAGCCCACAGCCACATAACAGTAAATCATTTAAGTTTTCTGACATCTGCATTTGAGAAATGCGTGACCATTACTTCCTGAATTAATTTGGGAATCCTTGACCTCAGCCATGAATTAATGGTGTCCTGAAAGCCTCAAAGTCGCACGCCCCCCTGCCCCCCCGACTCCCTTTTGGTTCTCATTTTCAGAACACATGGTCCCTTGGCTATATCGTTCTCCTCTACTCTGCTGTGGCCAGAAAAGATGCAACTTACTTCTAAGGCCTGGGGGATGCCCTATGCTGTCAGAACCGGGAGGTGGGAAGCTCAAGAGTTTGCAGTCGTTTAGTTTTGAAGCACTTGCTCTGTCACACTGACTGGCACAAAGTAAGCCCAAGGCCAGCAAATAGATCCTTCTCCTTTCCCCTCGCTTATGGGTTCGACAGCATTTTAGACCAGTTCAGTGTGTAAAGCGCTTTTAAGCTCAGCCTGGGCTGCGCAGGTTTAGCTTAAGTTTGGTTGTGTAGGAGGGAATCTGTTGCTTTGTTTTGTTGTCGCTTCGCATTCCGCGAGAAATGTTTCATGTTCAAAGGGACAGGGAAAGAAGCGCTGTGCAATGCCAGGTTTCATTTTTTTTAAACAGCAGGATTAGTGGCCGCACTATATTTATGCTGCGTGAAAATTACTGCGTCTTCATGTTTTTGAAAAGGCTTTGCAATTGCATCCATGCGCTGTAGTAAAAAATCACAAGGGGAAAACTTGTAAAAAGTCTAGATTTGGTAGCTGCTGAACATTATTTGTGATGTTAATGAATATGGAGCAGGTTTTATGGTAATCTATTGTTCTGTTTAGCTTTCGCATACAATGGCTGTAAAAGAATGATTTTTTAAAAAAACAAAACCGGAGGCCCGATCTCCAGATAACTTAGCAATGGTGGCTAATTTTGGGGGGATGATAGTATAAACATTGCTGGGGCTTTGAGTCCTGTAGCGATGAGGCAGTTTCTAGAGTACTGTTATTGTTTATGATCCGCTCCATTTTATGGAAACAAGCTCACTGGACTGAGGCTTTGAAGCTCTAATTGGCGCATGCGTTCTTCCGGAGCTAGAGCTAATGGCAGGAAGCCCTGCAGTAAAAACCAACTGGTTCAGGAAATTAAAACCAAAGATTTGAAAATCAACAAAACAGACAGACTCGGTGGAATGACCCTAAAATTCTCATGGTTAATCGTTTGGGGGTGAACATATAATTATATGCGATCAAGTTAAATTTTAAACACTTAGCTGTTTAATGCATTTTATTTAGAAGAGCTCTAGGAGTAATTATGATCAATATTAATCATTGATGCATTGCAAAAGAATATAGAGAGGTGGCTGAGGCAAACAAACATTTCCAGAGTAAACAGCTGTGGATGAAATGTACATAAATGGCTGTGTATAGGTATGGGTATGTAAATCCAAGCACACATTCTAGGTGGATGGAGCCTGCCTGTCTAGAAGTATCTGTTAGTCAATGTAAACTTTAAAAAATTCTTATGCGAGATTTCACTTGTAACGATTGTCATGAAAATACACATTTGCATTGCCCTCGACTGAAGCAAAGAAAACTCCTGCAAGATAAGATGCGATTAGCATTTCTTACCCTACCTTTTTCAAAGAAGAAAAGTCCAAGCCTTTTAGAAGAAAAGCCCAAGTAGAATGTAGTGCTTTTTTTTCCTAATGGATTTTTGCCTCTGTGCGATGTGTACTGATGAGCTGTGTGTTTCCCTCCCATCCCCACCCGTACCTCCCTTTTCAGGAGAAGCAGTACATCTAGCTAGAGATTTTGGGTACGTTTGTGAGACAGAATTTCCTGCCAAAGCAGTAGCTGAATTTCTCAACCGACAACATTCCGATCCAAACGAGCAAGTCACAAGAAAAAACATGCTTCTAGCTACAAAGTAAGATATTTACCTTTCTGGCATGTTGCTCAGAAGTGAGGGGAGGGCGACAAACCTGGGTTTGGGGCTTGTGTTTGTGAGCGGTTGCCACATAGCCGGTGGCTGATGGTTTTGCGAATTGTGAGGGGGTGTGTTTGCCCTCCTGCTATAGGAGAACTCTATAACCCAGCTTGGTTTCCATCAAATCAGTTCGTGCAGATAACCTTGAAAGCGGGTCGTGAAAATTGTGGGTGGATGTTTAGTTAAAGAAAAAGCAGTAATTCTTCAGAGCAAAACATTTTCCGGGCCTTTTCACTTAGCTTATCAATTTAGGTAGAAGGGGAAGGCTTCCCATTGACAGTAAAATAAAACTGGCACATCAAACTGATTTCAGTTCATTAAAATCGGCAATGGTTCTTTCTGCCTAAGCAGCTCTGTTACTTAGTGAATACGGGGATATTAAAAATATATTTTAAATTGCAATCTGTACGCAGTTAAAATGCTAGCGGAGTTTATCATTGGTGGGGCTGCCTAGACTTCCAGGTGGCGTGTGAAAAGAAAATGATTGTTTTGATATGTTTGCTGGAAATTAAAAGGGTTGTTTAGTAGCCCTTAATTACCAATGGAGGTGTCACCAAAGGGCACAGTGCCAGAGGGTGCAGGCAGAAGATGGGAGCCGCTTTATGGCTGGGAGACATTAACGCGGGTTTTAGAATACAAACTGTTTCAACACACCTCTGAGCTCTCTTGCTATAAGGTGTGTTATTTCCCCAACCATTTGTGCAGCGAGTGGATGATATAACCTAACTTCTGCACCGTGCCCTGGTATCCTCTCTTCCCACCTCCCTGGAAGGAAATTTCCAGACCCCAGTTAGCGTCAGCCTTCCCCTCTGTGGGAAGGTCCCTTTGGATTTGGAGATATAGATGTACCTATATAAATGTTTCAGAATACCCTAATTTAAAGCCTCGATTCCCCTCTCTGCCCTCGCTCTTTCTTCCCGACACACAGGCGTGTTTCAGCCTTGTGAAGGAGGAGGCCCGCGCCTCTCTCCACTTCCAAAAAAAGGGATCTTCCAAGACGTGGATAAATCCCTGAACCTCCCTTTGGATATCGCACCCCGTCTATTCCCTTCCGCCTTGCTGGGGAACTTTAACCTGCCTGTCTGCCCCAAAACCTAGCTGGGCAGGGATGTTG